AAACTTACCGGTGTTATTCGACAGACTCTCGAAGAACACAAAAAGAGTGGTGATAAAGGAAAAGAGAAAGCCACTTGAGAATCTTCGAGAGGAGAGGTGAGGCGTCCCTCATTTAAAGATTTCAAGAGTAGCGGTGCTACAGAGTTTTCTGGTGTTCTTAATCCAATTGTTGTTCTTACTTGGATCCAGAACACAGAAAAAGTGTTTCGTATTTCTCATGTAGATGCTGAAGACAAGGCTAACTATACTTCTGCAATGCTCATCGGAGAATCCTTGGTCTGGTGGGAAGCAACCTATGAAGCTCTCAGCAAGTTTGACCAGGAGAATTTATCCTGGGAAATGTTCAAAACTCGTGTGCTAGAGAAGTACTGTCCTCTAGACATGAGGAGGAGGTTGGAGAAAGAATTCCTCGAGCTTAAACAGGGAGGAATGACTGTGAATGAGTATGAAACTCAGTTCAATCAAAAAGCACGGTTTGCCGTAAAGTATATTCCAACTGAAGATGAGAAAATTCAGTTATTCTTAGAAGGACTACGGCACGAAATTCACGATTTCGTTGCCAATCGGGAAGTACTGTCATTTGATAAAGCTGTTGAGTATGCTCGAAAGCGTGAGCATGACTTAGAAATACGTGGTGCCACTCTTACTGTTCTGAAACATCCACGTACTGAAAGGACTGCTCCTGTTTCCCCTATTCCACCAACTCAATCCGTTCGATCTGAACCTAGCAAGCAAGTACAATCTCATAGTGCTTTTCGTGGCCGCGGCAGGTCACAATCTTTTTCTCTTCAGTCGCCAGCTTGTCGAAATTGTGGAAAGAATCATCCGGGCAAATGCAGACTAGAGGAAAGAACCGTGGTCTGTTTTGGATGTGGAGAAGTAGGACACAAGAGGCCCGTGTGTCCAATGAAAGGTGTTACATGCTTTGCATGTGGTGTTACTGGCCACAGGAAGCGTTTTTGCCCCACTCTTACTAGTCAGATGACGGGAAGTCAAGCTTTCATTCAACAACCGGCGAAAAGTCAAGCTCCTGTTCAACAATCAAGGGGTACTCCAACTAAAAAGGAGGAGGTTCCAAAAGCTAAAGGTCGTGCATTCCAGATCACCACAGAAGAGGCACGCGAGGACCCGAATGTTGTGACGGGTACATTTCTTGTTAACTCTAGACCTGCTCACATCTTATTTGATTCTGGTGCCTCAGATTCTTTTGTGTCTTATGAATTTGCGCATTCTTTTCAAATTGCTTGCTATGCACTCGCGCAACCCTTTCACGTAGAGACTGCTGGAAGTATATCATTACTTGCCGATAAAGTCTATAGGAATTGTGTTATAGAAATTGAAGGCTACAATTTTCTTGCTAATCTAATTCCTATCTCCTTGCCCAACTTTGACATTATTCTCGGCATGGATTGGTTGTCAAAGAACCACGCAGATCTCTTGTGTTATGAAAAGATAGTACGTATTCCCATTGAAGGGGAGAATCCTATCTATGTCTATGGTGAACAAGGAACCTTAAAAATAATATCTTTCCTCAAAGCCCGTAAATTCATATCGAAAGGGTGTTCTATCTATTTGGCCTACACAGTCGATGTCTCGAAAGAAGATAAGAAAACGGTGAATGATGTTCCCATTGCTAAGGAATATCCAGATGTTTTTTCCCGAAGAATTGCCTGGTCTTCCTCCGGACAGGCAAGTAGAATTCCGAATTGACCTTGTGCCTGGTGCTGCTCCGATTGCTAAGACTCTTTATCGTCTTGCGCCAGCTGAGATGAAAGAAATGATGATCCAACTGCAGGAATTACTTGACAAAGGCTTTATCCGACCAAGTACCTCTCCCTGGGGTGCTCCGGTATTGTTGTCAAGAAGAAGGACGGATCGATGCGGATGTGCATTGATTATCGTGAGCTGAATAAGGTGACTATCAAGAACAAATACCCACTACCTCGCATTGACGATTTATTTGATCAACTTCAGGGTGTTAGCTATTTCTCCAAGATTGATCTAAGATCTGGCTATCATCAGTTAAAAGTTCACGAGCAGGATGTACCGAAGACTGCTTTTCGTACTCGATATGGACATTACGAATTCCTTGTTATGTCGTTTGGTTTAACGAATGCTCCTGTTGTATTCATGGATATGATGAATCGGGTATGCCGCCCAATGCTCGATAAATTTGTCATCGTATTCATAGACGATATTCTAATCTATTCCAAGTCTGAAGTTGATCATGCCATTCATATTCGTACTGTGTTAGAACTTCTTCGAAAGGAGAAGCTTTATGCTAAATTCTCGAAATGTGAATTTTGGCTTCGCCAAGTTCAATTTCTCGGCCATGTTATTTCTGGTGACGGTGTATCCGTAGATCCTACTAAAATTGAAGCTATTCAAAATTGGGAAGTGCCCCGTAATGCTTCCGAAATTCGTAGTTTCTTGGGTCTCGCGGGATATTACTGGAGATTTATTAAAGACTTTTCTCGTATAGCCGTACCTCTCACGAGTCTTACACGAAAGGAAGTGAAGTTCGAATGGGGTGAAGCCCAAGAAAAAGCTTTCTCGACTTTAAAAGATCTTTTGACTCATGCTCCAATCTTATCACTTCCAGAAGGTGATGATGATTTCTCTGTATATAGTGATGCTTCAAGATTAGGACTCGGTTGTGTGTTGATGCAACGTGGTAAAGTGATAGCCTATGCCTCAAGACAACTGAAAGATTATGAAAAGAATTATCCCACTCATGATCTCGAACTCGCTGCAGTGGTATTTGCCCTAAAACTTTGGAGACATTACCTCTTTGGTACAAAATGTCAATTGTATACCGACCACAAGAGTCTCAAGTATATATTCAGTCAGCAAACTTTGAATATGAGACAACAACGAGCCATGGAGCTGATCAAAGACTATGACTGTGAAATCCTATATCATCCTGGAAAGGCTAATGTAGTTGCCGATGCACTTAGCAGAAAGGTTTATCGTAATAGTATGTGTTATGCTATTACTCACACCACAGTAAAGTTCACTATCCTAGATGAACTAGAGAAATGGCAAGTAGAATCCCTAAAGCCAGAAAATGTGAAGAGATAAGGGATGGTACATTACACCGATGTTTTACTTGATGATCCCCAAGGACTGAAGGTATTCAAGAATCGGTTGTGGATTACGAAGATTGGTGGATTAAGAAAGAAGATTTTAGATGAAGCCCATAAATCTAAACTGTCAATACATCCTGGTACAAGTAAAATGTACTACGATGTAAGAGCTGATTATTGGTGGCCTGGATTAAAGAAAGACATTGGAAGATATGTACAAGAATGCTTAGTATGCTTACAAGTCAAAACAGAGCACCAAAAGCCTTACGGAACACCAGAAAGCCTTAGTGTACCTGTATGGAAATGGAAAGAACTGTCCATGGATTTTATTACCAAATTGGAAGATAAACAAAGTTTGAATTTATAGGAAGAGTTGAACGAAAATATCGGCCTTTGAAAATTTGAATTTCCTAGGAAGTTGAACGGATGGGATTTATCTAGATAAAAGTTCCACGTCCCATCACCACCTAACGACATGATTCTAAGTCTAGAAATCTCCATCTTCCAAGATCTTGAAAGGAAATTTTTCAGGGGCAATTGCTATGGGTAGTATTTTGTAGTTTTATTTTTATGCTTAACATCTTGAATATTGACCAAGATCTTGAATGGCCTAAGATCCTGAATAATCAGTGTCTTGGTATTACCACTGTATCTCTTGTATTTTCGTCATGCAGGTTTAAACGACTACTTCACATGACAAAGACTAAGTCAATTATGCATGTGATCAACAAAACTAGACGCCGAGTCTTCACAAAATACTTGGTCAAGCGAAGATATGTGAAGATACAAGATTTTTAGCTTAATTAGTTAGATCATTAATGTATAAAAGACAAGTCGGTTTACTCTTGCACACACGTACACTCCATCATTCTTACTAGCTCTCAAAAACATTGCTCACAATCAGCTTGCACTTGTAAAACGCACTCCTCTTTTTAATAATATTTTTAAGCAAAGTAACTTTAGTCGCCTCCCGAAGTTTTATGCTAGAGATCTTGAATGATCAAGGGCTTTGCTCGTAGATCTCTTGTTGTAGCTTTGATATTTACATTAATATTTCTCCATTATTTCAACTTTTAAACGTATTTTTAACACATTCATATTTGCATACATTTTTGGTACGATACAATCATTATAAAGTGTCTCAAGCATCTTTGCAGTTTTTCACATATTTGAACATCTCTTTTTTTTGGCATATTCAACATATTTTTAACATCAATACTATTTATTCTTCTCTTTTAATAAAATATCTACAATAAATCTCTTTCTACATTCTAGATACAATTCAGATTTGAATTCACTAAACATACAAAACCTATACAACACTTATTCCCCATTTTAGTTTTTAAGATCCTTATCATATTAAAGATCTACGACACTTTTCAACATGTTCGACAATTTACAATTTATTTTCATTAAACCTTCAAACAAAACATCATTGTTCAGATACTAATTTGTTTACAAAGTTATTAAACTGATTTTTCACCAAAACATAAACGAACTTGGTTTGGGCAGAATCAATTTATATCCTAATTTTGCAAAATGATATGAATTTACCCTATTTTTTGCAATAGTTTTATAAGTTTACCTTAGTTTTGCAAAAAGCTAAACCTTTGGTGTGGAGATAAAATTATCTACATGTAACATCCTTCACCCCATGTCTACATCTAACATCTTTTTGAGTACATATCATCCAACTAATGCTGATGTGGCAAATCAAATAACAAATGAACGTCACAAACATACATAAGAGTTAAGACAACCTCATATAAGTTCATAATTAAAACACCAAAACCTTCCAAATGTTACAAACACAAAAGTGAAAACAAATCAGTGTATCATCTCCGGAATCACCCATTCCGGTTTACAAAATCAAATGCAAAAAAGAGAAGATCAAACAAACAAACAAAAGATTGCTCAGAAACCACCAGCGGAATTACCGTTTGAATTTAAAGATCCTCCTAATTCCTTTTTACTATTTTTGCTAATAATCCCTTTTCCAAAATACTCAGCAATTACTGAAAATCCATCTTTTGAATTCTTAACTTGCTTGAAAAACTGATCTTGATTCTTGGAATTTTGTTCCAAGTTTCTTTTCATTTCAACAACAGATCTGTACTCAGGGCACATTCGGGACATTCTTTTTCATTGCCTCCAAGACAACGTTGATGAAAAGAATGCATACACATGAAGTGGACAGCTGGCAGATCAAGTGTGAAAGTACATGCAGTACATTTGCTTAGTTGAAAGATTCTTGCATTTGTTCTTAAATCCTGGATTTCTTTTCTCATTGTCAATGTTTCTTCCCTGTAGAGTAGATTTCAAAACAAATGAATCACAAATGAAAGAAATTTTTAAACTATTAAAATATCAAAACCTTTATAAAATATAAAAAAACAAACCTGGTATTTATCAATCATGCGACGATCCTCTTCAAATTTAATCTCACCATCTTTCAATTTGGTGCAACAGTTTAAGAGAAGGGTAGTATGGTCTTTTGACGCGAGACCCTTTTCGTGTAGCTTCTCGAGGTAATTTGTAAGGTTGTAGATTCTTTGTGCATCTAGAAACTTTTGGATGACATAGGAAGGTTCAAGATGACCAATTGTATGAATGTATTGACTCATGGCTTCATCAAAATCTTGCTTCATGTATAAATGATCACCATATTTTCTTAAAACTTCAGCAGTTGCAGCAGCATCAGCTTGTTGACTTTGAACAAGATTAATGGCAACTGTGTAAAGGTTTTTTTTGAAAAGCATGTCGAGTTTGCTTTCCATGTCTTTTTCTCCAATACATAGAGCTGATTTATCGTTCATGATAAGGAGGATGCTTCCCCATTCACAAAGCATATGGGAGACTTCTTTGGTGACTATACTGTGTGCGATTAATCGGTTTTTGAGGTCATAGATGTTGAAGGTGTTGGAGCCACTTCTTTGGTCTGCAATTACACATAAGAGGTATCCACGAAACCACCCGAGGAACTTTTTTTCTCCTTCAAAAGCCCAACATGGACCTCTACCATCAACTTCATAGAAATATATTGCCTCGGGTCGACCAATGATAAGCTCCTAATTAACACCAAATTGCAATACTTTTATGCTTAAAAACAATAAACAATAATAATATACAGATACAAGCAATACAGATACTAGCAATAAAGCAAGGAACAGATACTAGCAATAAAGAAGGAGCCAGGAAGCAGATACTAGCAATAAAGCAACGAGCAAAGCAAATACTAGCAATAAAGCAGGAAGCAGATACTAGTGATAAAGAAGGAGCTAGGAAGCAGATACTACCAATAAAGCAAGGAGCATATACTAGCTATAAAGCAGAAAGTAAATACTAGCAATAAAGTAGGGAGCATATGCTAGCAATAAAGTAAGGAGCAAATACTAGCAATAAAGCAAGGAGTAAATACTAGCAATAAAGCAAGAGGCAGATACTAGCGATAAAGCAGATACTAGCAATAAAGTAGGGAGCAGTGACTAACAATAAAACAAGGGAGCAAATACTAGCAATAAAGCAGCGAGCAGAGCAGATACTAGCAATAAAGCAAGAAGCAGATACCAACAATAAAGCAGGATCCAAGAAGCAGATACCAGCAATAAAGCAGGGAGCGGAAACTAGCACTAAAGCAGGAAGCAGATACTAACGATAAAGTAGATACTAGCAATAAAGCAAGGGGCAGATACTAGCAGTACAATAAAGCAGAAAGCAGATACTAACGATAAAGTAGATACTAGCAATAAAGCAAGGGGCAGATACTAGTAGTACAATAAAGCAGAAAGCAGATACTAGCGATAAAGTAGATACTAGCAATAAAGCAAGGGGCAGATACTAGCAGTACAATAAAGCAGAAAGCAGATACTAGCGATAAAGTAGATACTAGCAATAAAGCAAAAAGCGGATACTAGCGATAAAGTAGATACTAGCAATAAAGCAGAAAGCAGATACTAGCGATAAAGCAGAAAGCCGATACTAATGAATAGCGATAAAGCAGAAAGCAGATACTAGCAATAAAGCAGGAAGGGCAGGAAGCAGATACTAGCAAAACAAGATGAAAGTAAAGAGAGGAGGGGAAGAAATAGCAAAAGGGTGATACCAGGCGATCATTCATGGCGACACTATTCACATTACTCCCAATGTGATCTAGGGTTTGTCGACCAGCTGGCTGAGTCTGCAAGTTAAACAAGCTTACAGAAGTTGGAGTAACCGCAAACAAATGAAAAGCTTTCCCATCAACACGAAAGCCCATTCCAGTAATACCACATTGGGTTTTATCTTGACTTTTCTCCACTTGAAGCATGAATCGTTTGATACGTTCACTTTCAATATCACCTTGGATACAATAAATGCAACCATTGTCTAGTCCAATAGCTATCAGTAATATTGGTGGAGCTTCTTCTAGAACTAGAAATGATGTTATCTGAACAACAACAACAGAAACAACTCCAATTACATTTACCCATAATGTTTACAAGAAATGTCACAAGTATAAAATTTCAACCTTTGCTTCTGGGAATTGATTAGTGAATATTCGTAGTATTTGGATACAATCTGGTTGAGTTTTATCTAGGTCAAAAACTTTGAGGCATACAGACGATAATTGTGGAGATATTTGTTCATCTTCTCCAACAGTTAGTAGGAAGTTGCGTTGCTGAGAACAAAAATGGAAAAAGATTAAAACTTTCAAGTGTTACAAAGCTGTGTATGTTCTTCCTCAATATTGTTAGCTATCAGGAATAGATGGAACAAGAAAAAACATCTTTGAAAGTGCATGATTAACCATTAGATCAGAAGATTAGAAGAAATTGTATAACCATAGCTGTAAAATTCTTCTAGCTATTACAATTTCTTATATTGTTTCTTGATCTTGAATTCATTCCTATCAACAAAGGTAACTAGATTTAGAAAACCTAATTTCATGTCATTCTGTATAGGAAAACCAAGAATCGTAATTCTGCACAAATGTGTTCTAGATTGCTAAATTCACGTACAACGTGATCAACAATGGGGAAACGGGTAATTAGGAATTATAGACAGAGAGCGATGAAAAAACCTTGAGTTGTTGAATGAATAAAACAGAGGAAGTGTGAGCTTGGAATCCATAGCTGAACTTAAAACCTCGATCTAGTAAGCTAACAGTCCCATCTTCACATCCCACCGCGATTTTCCCCCTTCCGCTGGAGCAACACTCGATTTTTCCAGCGACTTCATCCGGGACCAAACATTTTCCGGCGTATTTCTCCTCAAAGAACTCGAATTTCCTCCATTGATACATGTTTCTTCAACGTATTGAAATCAAATCGGAGCCCAGATTAGTCTACGCAATTGTAATCATCTCAATCTGTACAGAATACGCAATAGTTGAAGAATATGTGATCGATCACAAGGAAAATTAAATTAAAATCGTGAAATGAGTGAGAACGTGTTTGTTTTGTTGTCCTTGGACGTAGATATCCGTTTTCGACTTCAGGACTCGGACGCCATGTCCCCCATAAGATATTTATCTAATTTTCTATGTGCTTTTTTTTTTTTTGATAATATATAGATATATATATATATATATATATATATATATATATATATATATATATATATATATATATATATATCTATATATATATATATATATATAGGAAACTTATTAAAGAATTAATCAATAAGCTATAGTTTTAAGTGGTTGGATAGTTGCTTCGGTTCCTTAAAAAATCCATTATGTCTTGAAAGATGTCATTTCATATTTCCTAGATTTTCATTGTTGCTTTACAAAGGACAATTTTGTTGAAGCACCAAAGATAGATAACTGCAACACCCGTTTATTTCCATCAAACATAGAAGTTAATGCACTATCTATCATTCCACACTCTCACATTTACAGTGTAGCCTCAGCAACATGTATTAAATCTATACATCTTATCTTATAACGCTAGTGTATTCAACTTTTCCAGGAAAAAGGCTTAACATGTAACCTGTAATTAAAATATATAACCTAAAGAAACTAAATTAAGTCACTTGTTTCCTGTTAATGACACATGTGTCTCGGCAATAACAGTGAAAGAAGGATTAAGTGACAATTTTCTATGAGCCATCAGCTAAGAAATCAAAGATGAAATGTTTTTAGAAAAATCATGACATATTCATATGTGGCTAAGATCTGTAAATGATCAAATAAATGAATTGTAAAAAGAGAAATTAATTTTTCTTTGTGTTGCCTCAACAAGATGTGGATAATCTAAACTTTGCTTGAATCCAACCAAAAAGATGTAATCATCACAACCGGCCTATAAAAATTCACCAAATCTTTATCACCAATACAAGAAAACTGAACGTTGAAAAGGATAATATATATATATATATATATATATATATATATATATATATATTATATATATATATATATATATATATATATATATAGTGGCCGGCAGATTATGTAATTTACTCTTACAAACATCATTTATCCATTAAATGAGTTAGAGGTGTTCAGTCTTTCTTTTTAGACTAAAAAGAAGTCTAAACAATAATAAATGAACATATTATCGATACTTCCTAAAATATATACAGGGGTTTACAAAATATTTGAGCAATGAATTTGAACCTGTTAAAACCCATCTAAGTTTGCTTCACATATCTCAACATATTTAAATTAATAAAGATTCAGCAATTCCACTTTTTTGCCAACAAAAATAATCCAGTAAAAAGTCTACAAGTGGATGATCTAAAAACCTTTAGATAAAACTTACCGATCGAGAGATGCTTGTATGCATAGATAGCTTTAGGGTTTGACTTGCGGATCGGTGGAAGAACTTCAAATTGATTAAAACGAAAGTTGCAATTCAAACTTTGATTCTTGGATTAATTGGAAAGATAAAGGTCCACCTCTTGATAACGCGGTGACAGGCGGTATTGGCTACCCAGGAATGCGGCAACTCAGTAGGCCCAATTTGCGATGACGTCAGCTATATATATATATATATATATATATATATATATATATATATATATATATATATATATATATATATATAGCCAAAACAAAAATCGTATCCTTTAATATGCGTGTGAAGGAAGGAGATGACGACTCATACCATTGAGGCGGCAAAAGGGTTATCATTTTTATAGATATTTATCTGTATAAATCATGATCATGTTGCATTCATTTATATTGGGATATGGTTGAAGAGGTTAGTATGTTATGAATACTTAAATGAGACTCCAATCAAAATTTATAAAAGTTAGGGTTGACGTTCTAAAAAGGCATTCACAATGTTGGGTCTTGCAAACCTTTCATGTGATAGTTCATATGTTATGTAACTTAAAAGAAATTTGAGCCTCTTCTTAATTGGTAATACTTTGTGCTAACCATGATGAAATCTTCTATCTAACCATCTTTAAATAGAGATATGCCTTAGGAGTCCTATAAGAGTCGAGTTACATTGCATCATATTTCATACATTATACATATAATGTATGTTCTTTGAGTTTGTTTTTTATTAAAGTGTTTGAATTATGTGCAATGTTTTTTTCTTAAAAGAAACTTAAATATGTTTAAAGAAATTTAAATAGGTTTAAATAAGTTTAAAAGCACCCTAAAAGAAGTACAAAAGAAGTTTTGAAATAAAGAATGGGTTGTTTTTTAATATATAATTTTTGGTTCTATCTATACATTATTTTTAAAGATTTATTACATATTTGTAACTCACAATGCTTTATTATTTTAACATGTGCTCCAGTAAGAAGCATGTATCATAGTGGGGTTTGACAAGAGGAAATAGTCAAAACAAACTTCAAGAATGATGACTTTGGACTTGAAATAACCCATGCACTTATTGGATAAGTAATTGTCTATGTGTTGATTTTAATTGCCTTTATATACTTTTCAACAATAACTTTTGTTTTAAATTTTTTGATAAGTTAGTACTACCGCTTTATATTAAGAACATATTAATGTATTTCAAAATCACCCTACAAAAAGGGTGTTACATCATACAATGTATTGTAAAATCTCATATCCTTGATATCATCATATTTTGCTTAAATTTTCCATTTAAGCGTTATGCTTTCAATTCTATGTAACTTAAGTATTGTCAATTGTCATTACTTAAGATCATGATGAAACATTGGTTCATATCCCTTACATATCGCATGTTTTGATCATTGTTGTACACAAGGTATAAAATATTTAATGCTTAGTGTATAGTTCATAATTACAAAACCATATTGGAAGTACCATTTTAGGAGGCCATATATTGTCGGCGTAGTAACAACACCAACGGTTGTAATATATATATATATATATATATATATATATAATATATATATATATATATATATATGTGTGTGTGTGCGCGTGTGTGTTCGCCGGTTCGATAAAGGCCACCTAGTGTGGGAATTTTAGGGGTTAATAATTAAAACCTATGAGCAAATTGTACCTTAGAAGTATCAAATAGCTAGAATTTGGAATATGATGTTTCACAACTTGATTCATCGACTGACGTAGTATTAATGAGGATGGAATTCAATATGGATGTTGATGGTAATGTAGGACCTTACAAATATTAAGTTTGATTGTCTAAAAATTGAGATGTATATTTTTAAAGTACAATGTCATTATGGAACATGAGGATTATATGATAGTTGAGGAAGTTCAATGGACATGGAAAAGTAAAATTTCAGGTAGTTTAAGAGGTAGGGTGATATATTGGGATTGAATAGTGATCTGGTTATGAATCACCATGGTTGATAGTTTTTTCTCTTTGAGGCTTCAATGAGAGGTGAGTGGTTATATGATGGTGAATTTCGAAATTGTATGTACAATGTATATCTTCAAGATGATATGTTACATTAAAATCATAATCAAGATCAAGCGGTGTACCCTCATTGGGTTATTGATTAGATTTCATAGATAGAAGTTTGTTAAGATAGAGTGAATTGTAACATCAATATTTACAAATAAAATGTACCTTATATGAGATGTAATATAATTTTGTAGTTTTAAATATTATGGGATAATTAACTAGAAGATTAAATAATAAAAATCCAAAATGTGTATCAGTATCTATAGAAAAAGGTATTGTATATGGGATATGTAATATAATTTTGGTATTTAAATCTTACGGGAGGATCAACTAGAAGATTAAATCCTCCCTAATACATAAAAATAATTTTGCCACTTGTTAATCTCTCATGGGGTTTTGACACTTGTCATTTTGTGGTATTTTTGAAATAAATATTATCCACTTGTCAATTTCTGGTTTATTTCGATTTTAAAATTAAAGTCATATACTTATATATGTAAAGTATTAAATATAATATATATGAAATTAAATTGCAATTAATACATTTCTTTTTTTCTTATTTTAAAGTTTTACATTAAAAAAAATTTACTGCTTACACTTTAATGTTTATTTTTTTTTTTAAATTAACTCGTGTCATACACGGGTCTCACACCTAGTGATAAAAATCTATAATACATTTTTTTTTTTGGAGTTTGTAGGTAACTAAATAATTTCAAAAGAAGGGATTTAGATGGCATATCAATACCCCATTTCATCATAGGACCATGTCTCCTTCATTGTAACAATACACTCATTTCATGTTAAAATTAAGATAAATAAATAAAAAGACGCTTTTAAAGAGGGTTTCAGGGATTTTGTTCATTTTCATGGGAGGCAAAATTGGGACGATTTTCATCATCTAAACATCAAGATTCCAACATTTGATTATTGGAAACAAAACTAAGGCATTATTAGCTTTATATTCTCTACTAATGTTCTTGATTCGAAAATCCATGGTTTAGGTTGAAAATCAACCATGTTAAGGTTTTGTTATAGGAATAGAAAATGGAGCTTCTATATGTCTATGTTGGGATTATTTGTTATTCATGACTATAAAACATGTGGATTTATATACATTAATCCCTAAACACCATTGTTACGGTGCTCTTCACGCTAGGGTTTTGCCATAGCTTGGAGTTTTGAAGGGAAAGCAAGATTGGGGCTTTGGTTTGTCATTGTTTTTCTTAAATCGGCTAACACACACTCAAATATACGTATTTGTCTATCATAGACCGAACCCTCAACCAATTGTATGATATTGCTAGATCATAGGCTCTTTAATCTAAAATTTTTGTTTATCTTTAGATGTCGAAATCTTTATTGGGTTGTTAACTTATTGTGCTCTTTGAAATGGAACTCAACAGAAGCAACATGTGGTCCTCGTCCTCTAATTTTGCATTAATGTTTTCAAGATCAATAATATGTTTACTTAAAAGACATCATGTTGTTCCTCAATAGGCTTATCCTTACTCATTTTAAACAAGTACAATGTATTTACAAGTATAAAGAGTGTGATGTATGCAATGCAATTGTAACATAAGAATGCACAGACCATCATGTTCAATTAAACAAGGATTAGTTTTAACCAGGATTCAAATCAGATTCTCAGGAACATATGTAAAAGATAATACATCACCCACTTGTACACAACGCTTAGCTAATTTGTACCCTTGCATTCATCCTTCATTTTGCAATCCAATGATAAGCAGACACATCATCTTAAGTTACATGATGTGGCAAAAACCAGCTGACCGGACTAAAACACAAAAGTCAATAATTTAATTTCAAGTTTTTTTTAGTTAACGTTTTTCAATATTTATAATAGAAATACTAAACTTTTAAATACTAAAATTTGATTTTTTTTAAACGTTCTTATAAAAAAAATGTACATGTATATAACTGTTTATAACTATCTTAATGAAGTGTTACTCATTTTAAGTTAAACACTTATTTTATTTTATTTAATTTCATTTATTAATTTTTTTAATGTTTTTTATTATCTAAAAGAACAAATATATCAAAAATCATAAGTTTTATTCTCTACAATCATATATCAATATCTCGATATGTTTTTAAAACAAAAAACTATGTTACATCTCCGTTTCGATCCATTCACATTTATATGATCATAGATTTTGTTCAAATAATAATCAACACATGTTCATCATTCACATTCACATGAAAATAGTGATGATGGTTCTTAGCTAAATATGCCACCTTGTATGAAAAAATCTAAAATCACCATTTTAACATCTACCAATATAATATGTTAAAACTTAAAGGGGCCAATTTGGACACGCTTCTTTAAAAAAAGGGCCGACTTGAATGATATTTTATCGTTGCAATGGATAAAACTCAAAAATCTTGGCTAAAAAGGAAATGGCTCAAGTGGGTTGAAAGAAAGTTTGAGTCTCAGCATATATAAACAGTTTCTTCTTCTGTATCCTCTTCAAGAGGATAATCCTATATAATCTTTTGCATTAGTGAATGTATAATGATCATCATCATCAGAAAGAAAGAAAGTTCACTAATAGGCAAACAAACAAAATACTTAGTTCCTTACTATGCAGTAGGAATCTAAAAATCTTTTACAATATATAAATTGTTTAGAAAACGCCTAATACTAATACTCCCTTCCATTCCAAAACATAAGAGTAGTATGAGCCTCTATTTTTTTTTCCAAAATAAGTAGCATATCCAAAACCACTTGTAGCAGAATTGAGTGAGTAACAAAGTTAAAGGTTTGTTTGGTTATGATGAGTATTTCCAACATTCAAATTAGTCCAAAGTGAACAAAGAAAACCGTCATGTATATTCACTTACCTTTAAAGAAACTTCCTACAAATGATAAAAAGATCAAAAATGAAAAGAAACCCGCATAAATAGTTGGTATATATGAAGAGTTGCAATTCTAGAAACCCAAAAGAGGATCATCTGTAGTACCATTTTAATATGTATGCATAGACGTTTCTCTATAGAAATAGAAACAATCATGTCAGCAACATTGGATTTTTTAGATGAGTGGAAGTAGCAGTGTTTAATAATCATGTATTTAAGTTGATGATTTTACAAAAA